CTTATGTTTTAACGAGTTCTTAGATAAAATGTCGGAGTTTGGTCTTAACCAAATTAATTTAATCTCGAACGAGTTTGGTAAGTTCTTAGATCTAGTCTATGTTGATAACGCTTTAATGTTCTCTGTTGTCCGATGTGACCCTTTGGTTCAGCCAGAGGACTGCGCCGACAATTTGCTGAACTTAACAAAATATGTTATAATAATTATATAAATAAAGTCAAAAATAATATTATACGTAATCCAAAATTGTTCTATGGTTTCGTCAACTCCAAACGCAGGATTTCTAGTTTTCCGTCTGCTATGAAATATAAGTCTAGTATGTCCAGTGACAATCACACCATTTCGCGGATTGCGCCCCGCGCGTAGGCGGGAGTAGGGTAATCGTTGGGTATTATTATTAAGATGAAAGTAATGATGTTGCTATTTAATTTCTGCTGCAATGGAAGGCATCTGATAAAAACTCTGAACTACTCGTAATAATGCCTTCTTGGTATAGCAATTTCTCATTTTACAGACTTATTGCCGATAATATCGGTCAGTCTGTGTAATAAATTAGGAGAGTATCCCCTCCATTAGTTTTAGGTTATCCGGTAGTATAAATTATGGCTATTAGTATTTATCTTCCGATAGCACTAATACCATGAATATAGTATTTTGTCTCGGACAAAAAGCAAGATATAGTAATTAAACATCCTTGCAAATTGTTAGAGTGTACAAAATTTTTTAATCTGTTACTGAACAGGGTGTATTTGTTTTATCACGAAGCTTGTATTTATAATTCATTATTGTGATGAGCTGAGTTCCTTTCGCATATCAGATCAGAAATTTCGCATACGTCCTGTTCTCACCAAGAAGTTTCTCATTTGTCGAAACCGCCAATATGGGACAACTATAGCTGCCATACAAGCTAATCGATAAAAACTTATAATTTGACATAGCATATAGCTCTCATGTATCAATCACCGATCGCGCAAGTCCTTATATAAAAAATTTTCCGAAGAAAATCTTTAAACCGACCATGTATAGCATATATATAGCTACCGTACAAACTTATCGATCAAAATCACTTTAAAGAGATTTGTATACCCTTTAATGCTATAAAAAGTGCACCTGTAAATGGTAATTTAGCTTCGGTGCAGCCTAATTTTAATGTTTTTCTTATTTCTAAAGAACTCATCCCTACGATATGATCTAAAAAAACAAGAAAAAACGTTAACAGTTGCACCGAAGCTAAATACCCTTCACAGGTGCATTTCTGTAAGTAATTATGTGTTCAGTTTGTATGGAAGCTATATGCTATAGTAATCCGATCTGAAAAATTTTTTCGGAGATTATATTATTATCTTACGTAGTAATCCATGTCTAATTTCGTGAAGATACCACGTCAAATGTGAAAGTTTTCCATGAACTTGATTTCGATTGTTCAGTTTGTATGGCAGCTATGTGCTATAGTTAACCGATCTAAACAATTTCTTCGGAGATTACATTGTTGGCTCAGGAAATTATCTATACCAAATTTCGTGAATATATCTTGTCAAATGTGTAAGTTTTCCATACAAGAACTTGATTCCGATCGTTCAGTTTGTATGGCTGCTAGATGTTATAGTGGTCCGATATCGGCACTTTCGACAAATGAGCTCTTGAAGAGAAAATGACGTTTGCAAAATTTCAAAACGATATCTTAAAAACTGAGGGACTAGTTCGTATATATACTGACAGACAGACGGACATGGCTAAATCGACTCAGCTCGACATACTGATCATTTATATATGTATATACTTTATAGGGTCTCCGACCCTTCCTTCGGTGTTACAAACTTTGTGACAAACTTAATATACCCTGTTCAGGGTATAAATATAATTAGTAAAGGGATTTGCGTAATATATTTTGTCCAGGTCTCGAATCGCGGCACTCGTTAACGAAATTCTTGTAGTACACACCTTTAGACCTCTTATTTACCTACAATATTGGCATATAACTTTTTTCTATAAGACTCGTAGTAAAAAATCACAAATAAATTATTTTACCCTTAATGTTTGTTATTTTATCTTTTGAGTCCGCTAGGTTTCGATCTACTATAAATTTCTTCTTTTTATCAATTTTAAAGGCCTGCACTAGTCTAATTTAAGTTATAAGCGAGCAAGTTATTGAAGCTACAATGTTAACTTAATTTTTATTTAAAAAAATGCTTTATTTTCTTAAAAAATGTTATGTAACAATAGCACAAAAATGAGGTAATTTTTTAAAGATTGGTAAATATTATAAATGTAAATTATGAAATATTGAGATGTAATTCTTCATGAACAAACAAACTCAGTCTCTTTTAGATTAACTTAATTTATATAAAATAGATACATTATACAATATAGAACAATGTCTAACTGAGCGGAGTGAAAACAATGTCAGCGCAGACACATGCAAACATTTCTGCATGGTAAACTGAAAAATGGTATTTTTAGTTATGACAATATTGAAATAAATGAACCCAACACAAAATGTAGAATTCACAATGATTGAAGTGTACTCAGTGTATTTTTAAAACAGTTTTCAGACAAAGGCCTTTTAACTGTTATTATTTTTGTTTACAGATATTACGAGACGGGATCCATTAAGCCGAGAGCGATAGGCGGATCCAAACCACGTGTTGCTACAACCCCTGTCGTACAAAAAATCGCCGATTACAAACGAGAATGTCCGAGCATTTTCGCGTGGGAAATAAGAGATCGATTATTGTCGGAACAAGTTTGCAATAGTGATAATATACCAAGCGTGAGTATATATTGAAACAATTTGATTTTTTAAGGATTTAATAAATGTATTATTGTGATATTGTGCCACTGTCGTTTTGCTTTCGCTTGAACAACTGTAGTCCTCAAAATACACATTAAGTTGATTTGTGGCGAGGATTCATTCAAACGTCTTTAAACATATAGCCAGGGGCGAATCCTGAAATAGTTTCTTGGGGGAGGTGGCATTTATTTAAAACATAAAGATTATTATATTAAATATAGTAGGATTTAAACAGTTTAATATCATGGTGGAAAAATTGCAAATTGACCTTCCAATATAAAAACCCTACTAAATTGACAGTGACATATGTTATTGCAATGTAAAATACTGTAGTCAGTTCGTGTATTGAATAAAAGTTTTTCACAAAACAAAACCATGTGGGCCAAGTTTTAAAAATTCAGAAATTCGTCTGCAGTGACTTCAGTGTCATAATGCGTGTACAGCAATGCCAGGCCGATCAGTCTATATTGAAGCATGTTCGTTATCAGCGACGTTTTTATGCGGCGAAGAGTGCAGAATATGCGAAGAAAACTATGAATTATGGTCTATATCGCAGTTCTGCAACTTTTCCAAAGCAGTAGTTCGTAACTTGTTGTCTTTTGACTTTTGCTTCTGCCCCCAATGACACTGCCAGTGCTCAAGTTCACCTTTGAGCTTCAAACGTCGCACGAAATTGTCATTATCCAAAAGGACTTTGAATATATCTATCAAGCAGTTAATAAGATTTTCCATTTCTTTCGTTTTCATAGTACATACATATCTTTCTGAAAGCAGCAAACTTAGTTTAAATCCATCCAATACTTCTCTAGAAATTCGCGTCTTCAAATCTTCGCCGATTTTATCCCACACTGAGTAGTATCCACCCAGTAGTATTCTTCACTTCACTTCTTGAAAGTCATGCAGAAATCCTCACGTTTTGCTTGTCGGCCACAGATTCTTGGTTTTTGTTCGTCAGATTTCAGTTCTGCCGCCATTTTTTTCGTGTCTGGATAAATGAATCGAAATTGTTTCTCATTTTTTTGTCTTCGATTTCGGAACGTTACAAGAGCGCATCTATCATATTTGATGCCTTCACCAGATCGATCGAATTTTTCTGAAGAATCACACTGAGTTAATGACTTAGACATAGAATATCACATAGGCAAAAAATTCTAATTATAAAACGTAATTTGGACACGGCAGCGATGAGTATAGTTACTTCTTCCGCTGTTTGTTTGGATTTACCTCCTCCGAATTCGCCACTGAGAAAGCCCAATTCCAATTCGGCTATAAAATATTCGAGTCCTCGTAATCTATTGTGAATCTTTGAATGCGTTTTTCTCAAAAATTCCTACTTTTTCCAATAGGCGAGACAAATAACTTTGACAATTTTTTCCGATCGACTTAAAATTTGGAGATTATATTTAGAATTGGATTTTGCATAGAAGTACGTACGGGAATTTCGATTAAAGAAAACTTTAGTACACCATCCCAGGTTTTCGAGAATAAAATGAGTATGGTCGGTAAGAAGGGGATCCTAGATCAGGAATATATACTCGTATAGCAGCGGGAAGCTTATAGTTTTCGAGAAATTTGCGTTTAAAGTTAAAAATTTCAAGATTCCGTATAAAATTGATTTTACGGTTATATTTTGCACTTTTATGTCTACTAACACTTCGCTAATTCGATTATACACATTTATTTTACGTTATATAAAGAAAAAATAGTTCTATATCAATATATTTGCTTATTGTTCAATTCTATTTATTTAACAACAACAAATTTGCAAACTGTTAAATAATCAGGTTTACCTTATCGACATTTTTTGTAAATGAACTAAAAGAAATAAATAATTATACCACAAACCTAGATAAAAAAATATAAAGAAATTACTCCAGTTTAATAGAACTAAAATGTTTTGTGGCTTATGCGTAAACGGATCCACGGTAAAATTCCGATTCCTTTGGCGCCGTAATTTGAAGGTGCCGTCGGGAAGTGGAAATCCTCTTTATCAAATGGGTACCGCAAACGATAAGTTTACGAGATATTCGACTTTAACATTTCAATAAGTTTTTCACCATATTTAACACACATTACGCACATTTTTCACTCGTAGTGGACATTAGTATATATATTATATTTCAAATTAAACACTCTTTCCATGAAAATTTATATTTTAAATTTTATAAAAAATAAGTAATATTATATAATAATATTATGTAATAAAATAATTAGGTTACCCCTACTGCCAAAGTAATCGGAGTTGTGCCAGATCTTCGTGAATGTTGGCATTTTTTCGCCAAATGTATTATAATATCGAATCCATAATGTGTTAGAATTACTTTTTCGTGAACGGCCTCAAATCTTATATGATATGATTTTATGTTAAATAAATATAATGAACAATAAGTTAAATATTAAGTTAAAGCTATTTTTGCAATATAATGTAAAATAAATGTTTGCAAACGAATTAGTGAAGTGCTAGTGGATATAAAAGTGTAAAATATAAGTGTAAAGTAAATTTTAAAACGAAAAACTATATATTTTAAATAGTTGAAATTTCCAACTTTAAACGCAAATATCTCGAAAACTATAACTTCTCCTCGGCTATAACTATACTTATTCATAATTGTACATATATAGCATGCCGTGGAGGAAACACCACATCGCAGTCGATTTAAATTAAATGAGAGTACTTGTGCAAATTATTTTGTTCTCCTCTACTGCTATATTTTTCGGTTAAAACATGTAATTTCCATTGCGCATTTTCTCACAGCCAGCTGTTACTCTCACTACAGTTGTCATTGTCTGGAATTTTATCTGTTGTTGCTCATTGGCTGTTGAGTAATGAACCAATCACGAATGTCTGTGCAAGAAAGGGCGCCAGCACATCAATTGCAACATGTCGTCCTGCACTTACATTACTAACCGCCATTCGTAAGCATTATATTGTAATACACATACAAACTTAATAAAAGAGAAACATTTTGTTTCGACAAATCTTTTCCTTCTTTATTGGTGTAGACACCACTTACGCGGTTATAGTCTATTTCGATAAATCCTAAAATATAATATATAATAGGAGATATACATATGCATACTTGTCAACAGAGTATAGCTAAGAACAATATATAGTACAGTAACAAATTTTATTGCATTAAACATATCTATAATACTAAGTAATCAAATTTAGAAAATAAATATAGAAAATAAAAAATCAAATGAGTTGTGCGTAGTGCGAGGGTTGCTTTTATATTTCGGGTTAAGAAGACGAAATCAAGTATCAATCATCAAAAGTCGTTTTTTGGTTTACAAAATATTCTCTATTAAGATTCATATACTTATGCAAGCGTGTGAACCAATTGTCGAAATTTGCCTCTTTGATTGAGCTATCTTCAAAACGAGATAGATTGAGCTATCTGAACGCATCAACCGACTCATTGACCTCGACCGACCAGACATTGACCTTCTAGTTCATATTTTACGAGCGGGAATAAAAAGAAATCACACGGTGCTAACTCAGGACTATACGGAGGATGACTCATCAAATCGATGTTTGGAGTGCTCAAAAAATGCAGCTGTGCCAGTCGATGTGTGAGAGCTGACATTGGCGTGGTGACTAGTGATCCGTCTTCGGAGGTTGGTTTTCCTGATTTATTGAAAGATAACTGACAACAAATGGTTGAGTATCACTTAGAACATACTATTCTGTATTGTTTCAGTGGTATGGTTGCGACATCTCCAGTTTAAAAAAAAAAACAAAGCAGACAACTATTTGCTTAGAAGCACTTCGTGGACTTCACAAAATTTCATCGACTTATTCCTAGCAGATTATGAGAAAATAATTTTACAATTTTATAGTGCACTTAATTTCAACCTTCAATAATGGGGTATGCGTCTTATCCCCTTTCTAATGAACTGTTAATTTTCAAAATCGGTGATCTTGCGAAATTTTGATGGACGACTTGACGTGACGTGACTCTACTGTAAATAACACAAAAAGCGCCTTTAGGACCAAAAGCGGCCAAAAATCGCCGGGTGTTGACAATATTAAAAAATCTAGCGAAATGTTTTGTTCAACTTCATTGTTCGACGAAATCGTGAATTACAATCAAATTTGGGATCATATTAACTTATTTTGAAGCACACAGACTTACTTAGTTTTACTACTATATTTCTTGACGGGGAGAACGCCAACCCGTGGATCGGGGGTCATTATATTAGCGATAATATAATTTTATAACTTTTATGAAAAAGTGTTTACATAATTTAATTAAAGGCCGATATAGATACATACGTTATAGTCAAATGGAAGATCGAAAATTTTTATATAAGTAATAATATACAAATTGTCCGATGACAAATCAAAGTAAATTTTATTGCATCTGGCGCTTTTTGGTTGTCGCTCTTTTGGTAGTTATTACAAACTGCTATACGAGGAGTGGGAAGGGCGATTTCAGTATTTTTCACACTGCCGGTAGGAGTTCTTACAATATGTACTATCTCTAAGCGAATTTTGGTGTGTAGTTTTAGGCATCCTTTTTGTAGTTTTTAACAAAACCGTTATAAGGGGAGTGGGCGGTGTTATTATGCGATTTCATCCATGTTTACACTGTCGGTAGGGGTTCTGAAAATATTTTGTCGAATCGAATTTAGTTGTTGTACTTGCTGCTGCAATCCTCTGTAAAAAGTTATGGGATTATACCTTAATTTAGTGTTTAGTTATAGCATTTTACAAGTGTCCGATCAATGCGGTTTTGTGGGCGTGGGATTATGCCCATCTACGAACTCGTTTTCACTTTTTTGCCGAGGAACATGTGTACCTAGTTTCATTAAGGTAGTTAAATCTTTACTGAAGTTAAAACTTGTACAGGCAGACGGACAGACAGACCATCACTCGGAATTTAATACGTCTCTTCATCCTGATCATTTATATATACATAATTGTAAGTATACCACTCAATAACTATCTTGATTACTTTTGGGCGATACGAACAACCGTTAGGTGAACAAAACAAGAATATAAGTTGTAGGGAGACTGAATTGCATTTGGATCGCATTACTTGGAATAATAATAGTCCAAAGCTTATCCTTCTTATGCCCAACAGTCTCACATAGTTCTAAACTAAATAAGATAGATTTAAGTTTATGTACTTAAAAATAATGAAGATGACGAGAAGAGTTGAAATTCGAATGTCTGTCTGTTCATCCGTCTGTCGAGAATCAGTTTGTAGATGGGCGTTATCGAACTACTGTGGGCACGACAAGGCCATTAAGCGAAAACTTTTGAAGTGCAATAACTTAACACTTAATAAAGATGAAGGGTACAGGGGATCGCAGTAACAAGAAACACCTGTGGGTTTAAAATAAAAAAAAAGAAAATCGCATGGCTTCGGCCTCCAATTGGTTAAATGTACATATACCTTTAACCACTTAAGCTGCAATAGCGAAATTCGCTCAGGACAAATCATAAAGTATCCCTACCAGTACTGTAAAAATGAATGAACTCGGAACCCTACCCCGCCCATTTCCAACACAACGGTACTTTCGGGAGATTTTCTTGAGCATACTATCGACCAACATGTCATGTAAGTTATTCTAATCAATATGATAAAGCGTTTTTACTCAAAACAGTGTATCTTTGTTCCTAAAATAGATAAATCCCATATAACCAATATCAAAATTGAACATCTGGTTAATTTTGCTCCTTATTGAAGCCCAAGACAATTAGTATGTGGCATTTAGTACTACAAGTATGTGTGATATTGTCAAAAAGATAAAATATATTTTTATATATTTGAAAACCAAGCAAATAAATCAAATGTGCAGGAATGAGAACTAAAGTCATGACATTTAGAGAAAATATTCATTTAGTTTGATATAAAAAAAATATTAACAGTAAAGGACTAAGCGGCATCAAAGAGCAAGTCGGAATATTACATTTCATTTCCAAAAATATAAAAGGACTGTAAACTGTTCCTTTTAGAATTGATACTAAGAATATTATCAAGCAATTCCCTACGACTATAAGTTTTTAAAGACTAGTGTACTCGTATGGAGGTAGACTTAACCTAGAATTACATCAGAAATGCGAAATATAAAATGTTTTTAAATAGACTTGTCAGAATGGATTTGGTAACTAGGGTTTCGTACCACAGAGCTATATTCCAATATAGGACAAACCAGCGTTGTAAAAATAGTTTTAGTTCTCTATAAGAACAGAGTTTAACAAAACTATGAACACAATTCGCTTTAAAAACCATGGTATCAATATGAAAATTAAAATAAAGCATACGGTCCATAATAACTCCCAAATCAACAAAGCTAAAAAGCTCTGTAGTCTATAGCTTTTGATAACAAAGATCTGAAATTTGTGTTACATATTCTGCGATTCAATGGCAAATATTTTTAGATATGTGAGCAATTTTTGCAAAGCTTGTTTTCAGCTCGTAACTCGCATAGTATTGTTAAAATAACAGTGCTTATGGTTGATTTTTCACCAAAATATCGAATGTATAATTAAAAATTGGAGAGAATTATTTCCTTATAATAGTATATCTGTATGTTAAAAAAGGGTTAAAGCAGGTCAATATTTACCTTATCTCCCATATACCAAATGTAAATATTTTTGAGCTTCCGGGTGACTTTATAGTATACCGCATACACATATTGGCCAATATTTAATTTATTTTAATAAAATTAAGAGAGCTTCTTTTTCGGTGCATCTTTGTGCTTAGAACGAATAAACTCTAATGAAAACTTTCCGTGGACTTCATACATATACCCCGGCTTTAATCCTTGTAAGTAGCAAGAGTATGCAATGTTCGGTTATTCTAGAACTTAAGTCTTCCTTACTAGTTATATGTATGTATTATATGCTATTGCTAAGGGTAATAATTGTGCGTGGCAGGTGACGCCATAAATAATATAAAGTTTTTTGCTGCACATGCATCAAGAGTACAAGCTCATCTCATTTCAATTACTGTATCGGCCACCCGAGAATTTACCTTTCACCCTTTTTATTGCTTTGCCTTAATTACTACCAAAACGGTTTGTTTAAAAAATATAAATTAAGGTCTTACTAAGATTGTCTTTACTATAAAAATTAGTTCTTATTTAAATTCCCCGGGTGTACGGTACAATAACTAGAACTGAAACGAGACACAATTTTGACCAGATATTAGTCGTGGACCAGCTACTTCTGTCTGATATAACCGTAAATAAGTATATGCAACAAAGACAAATTATAACTGCATTGAGTAATAAAATTTTGCTTGAGTGGCAGCGTGCGCGCCGCAGTTTATTTGATCTGACTTATCGCCTTCGCCTTTTCATGATTTATTTCATCTTGGCATGGTGATCTGTAGAATTCGCATTTATGCGCCACGTGACTTCCCTCGCACTGTACATCAACCTCAGAGCAGGCACGCTCATATACATGCATACTGAGTGGTCAAATGTGTCACTTCCCTTGTTAATTAAATGTTCGACATATGAAATCAAAGAGATGAACGCCGTTCTATCTTTTCATACATTTGTGCGCGCGTGTTTAAGTGTTTGTACGCAGAAGTGATGTGTGTTGCGGCTTTGATGTGTTAATTATGTGGTCACCCTAATTAAACTTGAATTCTTTATAAAAAAAATACGTTCAAATGAAAAAGAGACTATTTAATGCTGAATTCGGTAGCAATCTTCCAAATAAAATATTGTCTTAGCTATCACCTACCAACAAAAATCAGAAACTAATTGATCAATCTTACACCGTAATAGTAGACTATATTCTCACGGCAGTTGAGCCTATGTAACCGAAGCAGACCGCAAATTATTTCAGGAATGTTTTCTCGCTACAATTTGCGGAACATACATCTTTTATCTGAGTTGCACTAATTGAAGTTTTCTATGCACTTTGTTCCATAAAATTTAAGTATTATTTTGTTCTTAACCAATTGATATATATTATTTAAAGGTATCCTCAATAAATCGGGTTCTACGAAATTTGGCTTCGCAAAAAGAGCAGCAAGCACAACAACAAAACGAATCGGTATACGAGAAGTTACGTATGTTTAATGGACAATCAGGAGGATGGGCTTGGTACCCCAGTAATACAACACCGGCACACCTGGCCTTGCCACCCACGCCGACAGCAACGAATTTAACAGGGCAAATAGTCCGCGATGATTTACCAAAACGCGGTAAGTATACTTACATAACGCCTTACACTTAAAACAAGTACGGTAGTGCTCTCCCAAGTCGTAAAAATATTTCTATATTTTCAGTAAAATTTCAGTTACTTTGTAAAGAAAGTATAATAAAGAAATAAATAAATAAACGCACATTTTATTGGTCAAAAAAGTCTTTTCGTATTTTGTCAATAGGTGTCGTTGCAATGCCACACAATCCGCCAATGAAATTTGTAAAGTTTACGGAGACGATTTTGTATGAGTTCTATAGCACACAGCGAGCTAACCGCTTTCGTTCTGGAAATTTCGAAATTCCGATTTACACTGATGGAATAATGCCTCAAAGGGACAAATGGCAAAAAGAGTTCGACTAAAATGGTACATATTTGTTTATTTATTTATTGTTATAATTATAAAAAAAAAAAAATAAGTTGAAGTTTGATTAGAAATACGAAAAGACTTTTCCCAATATAATCCTTCTCATATTAATTTGTACAGATCAAATAATTTTTAGTGATGGCAAGATTAATATTTCATATCAAAAAATCTTAATATCGGTTTTATCGAATCTGCGGTACAATGAAAAAATAAAAAATTTTCTTCACAAAAACTTGTCATCGTGATTCGAGATTTTTTGGAAAATGTAGAGTTGGTGGGGATAATATCATTTTTCTAACACCAAATTTTTTTTGGAAATTAATAACTAGTAAATTGCTGCTTTAGTCCATTAATGGTAATGCGCGATAATAGAACATTGCTCATCAAAGCACTGACAGATTCTTTCTCTGAAGACGTGCTCGGCTAGCTGTGTATTCTCCGATCAACCACGGTTCAAATATTCTTCAATAGAGTTTTTGATTGGAATTGCTGTATTTTATGAGTACTGGAGGCGCAGGCAGAGCCTCATATTGGCTTTATGACTGAATTGTATAGAAGGTCTTTATGGCTCAAGCAGAGATGCTGCATTTTTGGAGAATTGTGTCTCTTTCAGATCAAATGCCTATCTAGGTGAATGCTTTACTTCGCTCAGTTGAGCGATCATTACGTTGTTTAACTTCAGTCTTGGGTATGTTTCCGTTTTTAAGCTTAGTATCAGCTCTCAAGAAATGTAAAAACTTCATATAAAAAAAAAAAAAACGCTTAAGAAATGGTCAAGAAAACTTCCTGCGGTAAATTTTATTTTGCTTGTAGACAGCTCTGAAGAAACGTACTTCTAATTTTTAATACATTTTTTTAATTAAATACATATTGGGCAATCCTGGTTTTGCGAAAAAACAATTAATCAACAATTTTTTCTTGAAGGAAATGCAAAGTAATCATTAAATTCATCCTAAATTCGTTAAAATCATTATTATGAGCATTGTTCATTTTGAAATGTTGTATAAAACTTATCAATCATCAACAACATTCCTTAAATCGCAATGAAAGTATACACATACATACATACATACTTATTACAAACAAAGTTTATTTTCTTTGTTTATTCTCTCTTGCTCTTCTAACGAGGATCATTCACAATGTGTAACTAGCTGTCAAAATTACTTGAAGAAATAATGTATTTTTTTCATTTATTACTTAGGAGCTGGATACCTACCTTTAGAGCGAATATACTTACATATGTGCTCGTTCACTTTTGTGCGTCAGTTTAACCGCCAACTTCCAACGAGTTTTAAGTGATTTTCTAGTGGGTTTATGGTGTCGTCTGTGAGTGTTGAAGTTAGTATTTTGCACTCGTTGGAAAGTCTGCGGTAAATAAAACATTTAGCATTGATCCCACTGCCTTGAGGAACTGCAGCCAGAATTGGATACTCCTATAAAACAAATTCCTTAACTTTCATTATAAACCACTCGTTTGTAAGGTATGATATGATGGATTTTTTTGGGTAAAAAATTTTAATTTTATGTCCTTAATGTCATATTTTATCAACTTCTTGAGCCACGTCAAGAAATAGCGCTGAGCAGCAACCTTTCAACTCAAATGACCTGCTGATCTCATTGGTGATTTGATGGAAAAACCGAACTAATGACTTGAAATAATTTCGTATTCATGGAAAGGAATGGACAAGAAGCTAATTGGTCGATACGATAACGGCAACGTTGCGCTTTTCCAGGGTTGGCTATAGTAATAATCGGCGACTTTTCTACCTTTTTGGAAAATATCAAAATATTAAGTTGTCTTTAAAAAGTTGACACAAGAAATTGAAAGCAATATTTGGTAACTCTATTAGCATTTTCAGTGCTATGTTGTCAACTTCTTTTTATTCAACGTTTTTATGTTAACTTATATCTTAGATGAAGTTGTAAACACTTTGGCAGTAACCCTCAGAACATTGTGGGACAGTGATGGAATCAAGAAATTGTTCACTGCCATATTTGGCTGAAGTACTACGCAAAAATGTTCTGCAAAACAGTTTGCCTTTTCTTCTCCAGAACAGGAACAAGCACCATTTTTTTTTTTGTTTGTCTGAGCGGTCTCTTAATTTCTACTAGTGGCATAAAGATTTTCTCGGTGTTCCATAGTGAGTTTCCTTGAGCAGAATTCGGCGTCAAAAGTTTAAAACTTTCACTAGAGAACGTAAATTATAGAGAAGGTCCAACAACGGACAAGCGTGTGAACTGTCAAAAGCTAACAAAATGCGATGAGCTTGTTTTGCCACAGCTAGCTAAAGCTTAGTATCCAACTCTCAAGAAATGTAAAAACTTCAAACTTAAGAAACAGTCAAGAAACTTTCCTGTTATAAATTTACTTGTGCCAGTATGCAGCTCTAAAGAAATCTAGTCCTAATTTTTAATAGTTTTTTTTTCAATAAAATGCGAATATGGCAAACCTGGTTTTGCGAAGAAACGTCAAATCAACAATTGTTTCTTGAGGGAAATTCAAAGTAATCATTAAATTCATCCCAAGATAGTTAAATATAGGTTATAGGTATGAAGTATAGTTACTTTTGAAATGATGCATAAAACTTACCAATCATCAACAACGTTCCTTAAATCGCAATGAAAATGTTTATGTTATTACACAAATCTTACATACATATTACACACAAAGGTGTATTTATTTGTTGTCTCTTGCTCTTCTAATGTGGATCATTCACAATGCGTAACCAGCTGTCAAAATTACTTAAAGAAATAATGTATTTTTTTTTCTTGAGCAATTACTTGAGAGCTGTATACGAACCTTAAGAAGGAGAAATTTTAACAGTGGCGCGTAAACCGAGTTGAGTATTCAATGAAAATTGTGCTCAGAAGTATATATTGTTATTACAGACGTACATATGTTGGCCTTTTGCTTATATTTTAACACGTTTACATGCAATCATATTAATTGATATGATTATCATTTTGCTTTTAAAAAATTAATTTGTGAGTTAGTTCACACCTGGGGCTTTCAGGAAAGCCCTCAACCTCCCCTCAATCCCCACCAGGGGCTGAGCATTAGCCATCTTAGATTTCAATTTTGCATAGTAAATTGTATTCTACTTCTTGAGAACTTTCATGGGTAGATGGGATTGATAAAACCTACGTTAACCGCCATTTTGTAGCGGCCGCCGTCTGGATTTCAATTTTTTATAGTATATTGCATTCTGCTTGTTGAGCCCTTTCATTTGATACCAATATTGATGGGATTAAAACCTACGTTATCCACATTTCGTAGCGGCGGCCATCTTGAATTTATAATGATAATGAAAAAACATAATTGTATTGTCACCAAAATCCAAAGAGTATACAAAATTTTAGATTAATCGGTTGACAGGAAGAGGGTGAAATTTGAATTACTAAATTTGACCCAAGAATAAATAATAAATAAAACAAACGGGGTGAGCTAAATAAAACCATTTAAAAACTTAATATGTTACAATAATATTTCACTTTAATTTTAATATGTAAGTACAATTCAAATGCAAATCATGATATTATCGTTTAGCAGTAATATAATGTGCACGCACTGCTATATCTGCACATATTGTGCGTATGACATTCCCACACAAACAATACTTACCCAAGCCCACACAAACACCATTATATATCCCCGAGCATACCTTTTCCGACAACTTATAATTAATTAAGTTAAACTTATATTAATTGAATATTTAGGTATTTAATGCATGCAGGATTTTATTATATATTTCCAAAGATTTTAAGAAATTCATCATGAAATAGTTCAATGTACGTACATGCTTGTGTGCTCTGATATAAAATACAGCTATTGACAGCTAATTAGAAACACTCCCTTTTTTGTAGGTGGCTGATAGGAATGATAGGTGTTACTCTATCTACTACTAAATTCACTCTCTTTTGTAGTTGTGAAGTTAATGTTCTTTTAATTTTTTCCCCAAATCGTAAATGCGATGCGCTATAAAAGGTAAATTAAGTGCGACAGCTAATTAGAAACCCTTGCTTAAAAAATTAACATTCCCCAAGGAATGCTCGAAATAAATTGTTTTTAATATCCGTAAGCATATCTTCGTCTACTTTACTGGCGTAGACCCCGCTTATGCGATTATAGCCGAGTTAACAACAGCGCGCCAGTCGTTTCTTCTTTTCGCTACATGGCGCCAATTTTATATTCCAAGCGAAGTCAGGTCCTTCTCCTTCTTCCTCCTCTACTTCCTTCGGCGGGTACTGCGTCGAATACCTTCAGAGCTGGACTGTTTTCGTCCATTTGAACAACATGACCTATCCATCGTAGCCGCTGTCTTTTAACTCGCTGAACTATGTCAATGTCGTCATATAGCTCATCGTTCACTTTTCTCTCGAAAACTCGCAACGCCGACTCATCAGTTGTCATCGTCCAAGGCTCTGCACCATATAGCAGGACGGAAATTATGAGCGACTTACAGAGTTTGGCTCTTGTTCGTCGAGAGAGGACTTTACTTTTCAATTGCCTACTCAGTATGAAGTGGCACCTGTTGGCAAGAGTTATAGTGCGTTGTATTTCCAGGCTGCCATTGTGGTGGTGTTTATGATGGTTCCCAAATATACGAAACTATCCACAACTTCAATGTTATGAC